AGTCACCTCTTTCAGGGAGTTTTGGGAGCTGTTCATCATTCCAGTAGGTTTCTGTTGTTTTCTTTACTGAGGGCAGAATTTAAGTGATTTATACTTCAGGTTGCATTGCCAAAAGCTTGACTTTGAAGATCAGCTAGTGATTTGAGGCGTTGAAGGTGATGGCTAAATTATTCTTAGTGAGAACTGCACGTATTGTACAGTCCCTAGAACACCAATTTTAAGTATTCAGGGAGCAAAATGCAGTACGCATGCTAAATTAGCTACATTTAAAAGTCACGGCATTAAAAATTTACATAAGATTGAGGCTTCTTTAAACTAGATTTTTGGATAGGAAAACTCCAGCTTCATGCAGCTGACTACATGGGTTTACTGTTGTCTTCTTTGGTGTGTAGGGAGGCTGCATAGTCCCAGTGTGTAACACTCCCTGATTGCCTGTTCCCTTTACTGTTCATGCACATGAGGAGAGGAGAGACCAAACCCTGGGCAGCGCCAGGGCCCTGTGTTCGAGGTAGCCAGCAAGCTGAGCACTATCACAAATCACTGAAGGATCCTACTGGCCTAGATGGCCACAACCAGAGCTACATAGAGGCACAGGGCAGAAAGGAACATGCTGGCAGCACAGATCAGAGGATCCGCTTTATTGTTAATCTTCCTTAACCTTCTTGCAACTTCTGCTCCAGCAACGACACCCAAGATTCCTGTCCCAATGGTGATGCCTCCAAAGATCAGGCTGGTGACAAAGCAAAGGATTCAGCTGAGCAGAGGAAAACTGTGCAGTGGAAAAAGCGTGGTGTTACGTGCACCACTGTTAGCTTACACCTTCCGCTTCAGCCCCATATTTCACCCCACACAAAATGGAGGAGTCTGTAATGGATAACTTGATTTTGACGCCTCTTGATCCAACCCTCCCTGTCCTTCTAAAGGGATTCAACCCCCAGCCTCAGGTGCCTCTGTGCTGCTGCTCTGCCGCTCGCAGAGCCGGCGCTGCACACCTGGCTTCACGGAGGATCCTTCTCCGTACGAGCTGCCCGGGACACGCAGGGGTTTAGAAGAGCTGCAGTCACATTGCCTAACCTAGGAACCCATCTGCTCAATCATCCCTAACACAGATGGAACAACTCTGTGTCACAATCTGCTGTCTTGGAAGAGATCCTTTCACAGAGGATCACATACACCTAAACCAGCGTGGCCCTCCAGTCAGCACAGCTGGAATGAGTCACTCCAGTGCTGGGAACCAGCTACCACCTCCCCAAGCAGCAGGAAGAAACCCCGAGCGCGGGGAGCGCTGCCAGCGTTTGCTGAACGCTGAATTTCAAGTGCCTGCAAATGCAGACGTGCTCCCCGGGAAGGGAGAGTTCGTGTGTTCAGAAAGCACATGTTCCAATTGCTTAGAAAATTTACCTTCCAAAGGGACTTCCACAGAGGCTTTTCTCCGTGTCCCTGATGAGATCCTAATGACAAAGCGAGTCCCTTGAAACAAGCCCAGTGATGCCACTGGCTGTTTAATGCATCATGAGGCAGGCAGGTACAGAAGCATAATGTCCTGAGCACAAGTGCTTTTAAATATTTCAGAGTGCAACATGGGGTAAGTTCCGTACATTTTCCTAAGCTTTATCTGCCTGCAAAGCAAATAACCAGCTAGGTTCTTTAAACTGTAGTGCATCTATCTTTTCATTTCCTCCTCTTCCCTTTTTTTTTTTTGGAAACAGACGGTATGTATTTTTTTCTGCATTCTGATCCATCACTCATTATAGCTTGTTAAAGACAATATAGATTGGACAGGGAGGATACCTGTTTTACAGATTTGCCTGGCAGATGCAGATCCCAAGGTGACATTAGTTTATCTGAGCATTCAAGGAATTGTGCTTAGATGATTCGTATGCTACAAGCCCCAGCTGAACCAAAGCTACTGCTGGGAGAAAAAGGAACAGCCAACGCTGAATTAGAGCACAGTGTAATTGATAGGCAGAAGGAGAGCACAGCAGCCTGGGCCTGGGGAAGCTGCTATGGGGCCTTCAAGGCTCAGAGAAGGCCCAGGGGTCTGTGTCCCTGCTCTGAGGGGGCTGCACAAGAACAGCCCTTCAAGCCTCCCAGCACCTCTTTATCTGCCTTGAAAGAGCTGAGCCCTGACCCAGCTGTGGTGCCACTGGAAGCTGAACTTCCAAGGAGTCCAAGTGACACAGCCCTGACCCTTGAACAAAGCCTGCAACTGCTGAACGGCCACAGAGGATAATATCCTTAAAGCATCCCTGGGCAAACACAGGAATGTGCAGCTCAGATCTCCCAGCACTGTCAATTACATGTCTCACCTAGCTGTTTATATTATGCTTTTTTCCTATCCCTCTGGAATAGCAGTCTAAAACCAGCCTTATGCTGCCTCTGGCAGTAGCTTATGCCAAGGTTATTTTTAAAGCATCCTGTAAGATGCACTACATGAGGTTAAATTATCAGGTGCTCCCTTTTACTTCCCTGAAGACCATGTCTGCTCTAGCAGCACTACTGTAGAATAATAATTTAGAAGTTGGTTTAGAAAAATAGCCCATGAACTAACAACTTAAAAATGGACGTTTTAAAAATATACCCAAGGTTCCGCTTTCCTTCCCTGACTACACTGAGCTCAAACAAATAATGTGACAGTGGTGGCATCCATGGAAGGACAATTACATTTACTATTTAGGGACCTATGGAGAACTTTTCAACATACTTTCCATTACCCAAAAATTGGCAGTTCCCCTCAGACTAGGCTTAAGTCTGCACTGGAAACGGATGAAGATGTATATGTTTACGGCCTTCCTGCAGTGCCATCTCCTGTCAAGCCAGCCACCTGAATACCCCCCAACTCAGAAACCTCTTTAGAGTTGACTTAATTACTGGGAAAAGCAAGAGCACCCAGTTACCAGAAAACATATCCAACGTATAATTACTGCTTTTCCCCTGAATTATCTGGAAAGAGAATACAGTAAGCAATTAGTTCCTGGAAACACATCAGGAAGCAGGGACCAGAACCAGGATTGGGCTGGATATGCAGTCGTCAGGGGTCAGTACATAGCGAGGAGGATTCCAGCCCTTGCTGATGCTGAGGGGAGCTATGAAGATTCCCAGTCACATCCTCCCCTCAGTCCTTGGAAGCACTAGGCAGCGTTTCCGCGCAGGTTTCCACGGCTGTGCACACCTCACCTGTTGGATGAATTGCACGACTCTTGGAGACACGGGGATACGAGGCCCTGGACAAGCTGAGCCCTGTAGAGAAACAGCGGCACCCACAGGCCCAGCGCTCCGGTCACAAAGGCCATGGCAGTCAGACCCAGGGTGGACCACACAAAACTCCAGCTGAAAGGCACAAGAAAAATGTCAGGGCAGTTTGAAAGAAGAGGGAAATCTGAAGAAAAGGGGAAATTCTACCGATTTCCAGGATTTCAATATCCAGAATTTCAAGCGGTAACAAAACAATCTTTTCAGAGATTTTGTAAGCAAAAGTTTTAATTTGGATGAGGCTATATCTTCCTGGGCAGTAAAGTGGTACTTAAGGGAGCAACCTATCAATTTCATGTTACACCCTGTTCCTGAGCTTTAGCAGATCTCATTGTCCGCTTTTGCTAAGGCAATTTCTGTAAGATTTTTGCTAAAGAAACTACAGTAATAGAGGGTGGACAAATAGGAGCTTGGATGAAAATCCAATCTACCAGTTAGAAAGCTCTGAATCCTTCAGAGGAGATGACGGCAAAGCAAGGTGAAGTCCCAAAAAAGCAAGACAGGCTTTGTCCATTAAAGCATTTGTCTTGGATCCCTGGGAAGCGGCTTGCGAGCGCGGAGCAGGGTCTGGCACAGGTGCACAGCGGCACCTGCTGTTCCCAAACCCCATCCAGCTCCTCCTCCTGCCTCCGCAAGGGCTTCCACTGCGGAGAAACCTGCTGCAAACTGGATCTGACTTTGTCCTGCAAACCAGCTCATGCTGAATTTAATTTCTGGGAGCTTACGAGCAAGAGGTCATTGCCATCTACAGGTTAGCTGGTTACAACACGTGTAATTACTTTACAAACCATACTGGGGTCTCTTCCACAGCATTCCTGTAAAGCAGTGGAAGAAGGATTTTGTTAACGATGTTTCAATCATCTTGTGTGCAGCATGTGATAGAGGAGTGCACTGGGGTTTGATGGCCATCATTCTCCTAGTGAAATGGCCATTTCTGATGAAGGGAACTTTTGTAGCTAAAAACCACATACTTTTTGCAAAGCGATAGCACATCTTTGCACCAAGTTGTCTTGCCAGTTCCCTGTACTCCTGGTTTTTCAGCTGCTACTCGGATTGTGCCGGAGATGCTAAGTGCTCTGTGTGCTTCTGTCCTCCTCTGGGTTCTGCGAGGGACAACCAGGATCAGAAGAACAAGGGCTAGAGCTCCCAAGCAAGGAGTTACCTGTAGAGATAGGGCTAGTTAGATCAGAGATATCTTTCTTGTATTGAAAACTTTTTAACTATTCAAATTTAGTGTTAGAATTACATATGGGAGACACTGCGTATATGCTCAGAAATAGATATGACTTGCTGTCTGTAGGTCATATTTAAAGGAGGAAGAGTGACTTTTGAAGACTTATGGAGACTTCTGAGTAAAGATTAGATTCCTCTCCAATCATTAGACACATGAAGACCACCTCTGATTTTGAGGAAACATGTGAGAAAAGAAAACTACACTGGCACAATCAGTGCATTAATCATCAATGCAAGGATCACTGATGCAGGAATAAAAGGTTATTATTCCAGCAGACATCCTTCCTGACTCATCCTGTTTTTTCGGGTTCATTTTATAGATAAGTTAGGAAGATGTCACAGAGCCTTTTCAAAGGATTAGGTGTTCAGTATGGGCAGACATCATGATGACGTGATGAATCCCTCAAATAACAGAAGTTGTTCCCAACTTTATTTCAGAGAACAAATAAAGAGAGTCTGATTCCCGCTCTCTGTTTCCTGGAGAACAACACTGGAGCCACCAGGAAGAGGATAATTTAATTTCATTTGCCTCTATTTGAGGAAGTCTGGGTCTACTAGCAACCATTACAAGTGTAGGTTCATTTAGGATCAGACAAGTTCTTCCACCACTCACCAATTTTAACCCAGTGAAGAAGAATATCCAAACTCCAGCCAAGATTATGGTTTTACAGTGTTCCATGAGTGAACGTAACTTACCCTGAATGCCCAGTGCCAGTCTCCTGTGGCATCTGCCATGCTGGATGCCAGGACATAGCCCAGACCACTAAAAGCGAGAGAAAGGGATAATCAGTAAGCACTAATGAATTTCAGTTGTCCAAAATGGCACATCTCACCACTATGCAGAGCACAGAAAAGCAAACAAAGACCGACTTCCACACACAAATTTCTTTTAGTACTTCAATATTTTATTTAAAATCTACCAGTTTTCTGAGTTTTGGTTCTCCATTCTCCTTGAAAGTATAAACCTAATCGGCTCTACATAATCATGCTAATGAAGTAACACATCCTCGTGCAAGGGCTTGAGATATATTTAAAAAAGCTACTTAATTGAGGCTTAAAGGGTGTCAAAATGCTGGCCATGTCAGAGAGAATTAAAAACAAACAAACGCCCCCCACACACACCCAACAATATACCACTAAGCAAGAAAACCCACCTTCCAACTGGAATGAAGATGTAGAAGACAGATAGCATTGTGGTCCTTCTTCCTTCCTCAAATAGGTCTGCAATGATGGTAGGTGCTATCGTGGAATAACTAGCTGTGCCAATGCCAACTAGTCCTCGTGAAAGAAAGAATATCCAGGAATACTGTGGAAAGAGGTAATTCCAAAAAGCATATGAAAAAAAAACTTACTTAGAGGTGCATTTTTTGAGTCAAATGTACCAGAGGAGATAAGAATTCAGCTGGCTTTTGCATATGTCTAAATTACCTCCTCTCACATCTGCCTCCCCAGCCACTGGCCTTGGGACCTCCTGCACTGTAGTGCTAACCTGGAGAGAGTTAGAGGATATGGACAACAGGCCGTAGGTTAAGTCCTCTACACCTCAGTGACCCCATCAGCAAGAACATGGGACAGAACTAAGATCCCAGCAACTGCAACAGTAACGTCCAGTCACTCCACTGCCTCCTCTAGGCCTCACCATCCCATAAGGCTTTCCAGCTCTCTGGTAGCTTTTCCAGAAATGATCACAGGACGGCTCCATCAATTCCAACAAACCTTAAGCAGATTATTTTGGTAGAAATCCCTAAAAAGGCAACATACCGATTCATTGATGAACGAACTGCCTAATGTTACCCCAGACCAGAAGAAAATACCAGCCCCAAGGATGATTTTCCTATTTCGACGGTCGCCAAGGTATCCAAAGAAGGGGGCAGCCAGCATGTAACACAAGATGAAGACTGCAAATCAAAGAAGAAGCAAAGACAATATTATCATAGAATCATAGAATGCTTTCAAGTTATTCTCACTGTGCTCCGCACCCCTCAGACAAAGCAGTTATTTTTTAGGGTGGAGGTAAAACATGGGTGAATTATCCCAGTCCGGTATTCCTTAGTTGAAAAATTCCTTTATCTTTTATGAATCACACGATGTGGGATTTTTAAAGGACTGTGCTTCACTGTTCCTGGAGACTAGGGCTTTTAGTTTCAAATATTAGTCAGCCTTCCCACAAGAGGAAGTGAGCAACACCACACACACCAGAAGGAGCTAACAGAAATAAGTTACCTGAGGGTATTAGGAACAGACTACATCAATGCAAGCAAAGTAAGTCATAAAGAGAGTCATGGAATAAAGAGAACTTTTTACCTGTTTGCAGGAGACCTGCACCCCCATCACCAAGCCTGAAGTATTTTTGGATGTCTAACAGGATGCCTGCAATAGAGTCACACACTGAATGACAGCGAAGTCCCCCGCTCCCTCCCTGCGATTCTGTTCATTTGTCAGCTCAGAGATTTACTCCAAGAGGAGGAGTTGCAAGAACTGCTGTACATTTAGCCTGGTGGCTTACATGCAAACCTACCACGAGACCCATGCAGAATAAAAGTTGCTTATCACTATAGATATGATTCATGGTCTTCTACTGTGTAGAAGTTATGAGAATCAGTTTACCTAGTACTTCAGTCACAGCTGTTCTGTTTCTCTGGCACCATCAGTACATCAGCATATGAACAGTTAACAGAGGAGACTTTATAGTTGTTTCTCAGTGAGGCTCTGACATATTCTACATTCAGGGTTTTTCTAATTGGTATCACAAGTTTAAGTCAGTCAGTGATTTCGTGCAGAGTGACAAATAACTTCTGAAGATCTGTCTTTGGCAAGATGTTGAATAATTAAAACAGAGCAAACTAGACTCTTCTATCTAATATTTCCTAGTAGCTGATAGCAACACACAGAAATATGGTGCAACAGGAACTTCACTTTGGACTAACACAGTATTTAGTACAAACCACAGCTAATAAAAGACTTGATAGGAACTGCAGCTTCAGCGCAAAGTCCATTTCACACGCACACCAAGTTACCTCTTCCACATAACTGAAATAACTGAGCTAGCTTCAGACAAAAGCATTAAAGTGGCAAATATGCAGCTCAATTCTACCACAGGAGGAAAAAAAAAAAAAAAAAAGCCTATATTGCTATTGTATAAACTGGGGGGGGAGATTTCCCCATGGCCCACGTGGTCAGAGCGTTAACTGAAAAGTGGCTCAGTCCTATATTGTAATTCAAGTCTGGTATGCAAAAGACCTGGATACCAGCCCAAATCTGCTTTAGGATTTCTGTATGTCCCTGCAAGTATCTCACAGAGAAGCAGCTGAGCCCGTTATCTCATAACTACCTTTATTTCATAAACCTTCCTGAAAACGTTCAGCTCCAAGCATGGACAGGAGCCAAAGAATAGCTGGAAGCCGGGAACGAACCAAACGCCGGCTGGTGCCCAACACCTCTGTGCACAGGTGCTCCCACCAGCCTGGTCCTGCCCCAGGTTTCCTCCTCTCCCAGGAAGGAGATTGGACAACAGGATTCATACGTTGATTTTTTTTTTCTTTCTCTCTCTCTCTTTTTTTTTTTTTTTTTTTAAACGGTTGCTCTATTGCAACGTTGCCCAGCGTGCACCCCCGCTCGCTTCCTTCCCTCTTACACATGCAGTTAAGGAATGTTCAGAAAAGAAAGGTTGGAACTCCTAATCCCACAAACCTCTCAGGTTTTAAGGATACAAACTGAATGACTTACATTTCTAGGTGGTCTAGGATGAATCATTTGTGTAGGAACACTAGTTATTAATCCTACATATAACAATCCATCTCTGGGGCTTTTTTCAAGGTTTTAAAGGATTTATGATTTCCAAGCCACTCAGAAGTAAGATATAGCAAGCTTACAGCAGGTTCTGTTTTTTTTTTTTTTTTTTTTTTTTTTCCTCTCCTAATGTCCAAATCAGCCCCCAGGAAGCATAGTAGGTTCTTTAGGAGTGAAGCTAAGCAGAAAAATTTTTGTAAATCTCCATTTGCACAGAGGGAGGGAAACGAATTTCTCACTACTTTACTGGAAGCGCTACCTTGTTGTCCATGTTGTCTTAGGTCAAAAATAAAAGAACAAGAAACAATGAGAAAAAAAAGAAAATATTTTGAAAGAAGGTTATATTTCATTAGTTAAGTAGGTGGTAGGTGTTGCTGAGGGACCCGAGCCTCTGTTCTCTTTACACAATCAAGTTCTACTCCTCATTATCAAAATCTCACTGTTTCTATCAAATCAGAAAAAAGTCCAATCTTCTCTAAGCAAACTTGCACAAAGATAATATTGTTGTAATTTTAATGGAGAAGAATCACATCACTATTCTGCAGATAAAGGATGGCTACAACTAATCTATTAGGTCCAGGGAAGGCATGGTAAGCTGCTGTGCAAAACAAAGAGAAGCTTCTTAGCCAAATCTCTGCAGACACAAAAATAGACTTGCTGCCCTGTAGGCTCAAGTCTATTTACAAGAGGTTTAGTTTTAAAAATATAAATCTTACACATTTCACAGGCATGATTTTTATAAGCACTCCATTAACTGTTAATAACTTTACATTATCTGTTGGCCTTTTAAGATTTATAACTGGAAATTTCATGACCAACAGGCCTAAGCAGATTAGTGAGAAAATTAAACAGGCGTAGAGCATATCATTATAGTATAGAGCATTTCATCATAGTATAGAGCATTCATAGCCAAGGAGTAAGCAGAGCTATTGAGAACTTCAATTTCTTTTTCCCTAGAAAGAGAAAATAAATCCTCACCTGGTACAATGAACCAATCCATGAAGTTTATTAAATTTGCATAGCATAGCACACCAGCTACCATGTAATCTCTCTTTGCTGGACTGTGTCTTGGCACTGACTCGCAGGGGACGTGTCTTGAACGTGCTGCAGTAGCTCCATAATTCCGCTCATCCAGAGGCAGCGGCAACTGCAAGGTTGTATTTTCATGTGTTTCGGGGTTCGGCATGTTTCCCGGTGCAGAAAGTCACCGTATAACACCAAGTGTTTTCTCGGGGCACTAAGCTGTGAGCTGATTTTGCATTCAGGCTATGAGGAACTTGGGTCTCTGTAGTCATTTCCGGCAGTGAAGTCCAACCACTAACACTTGAAATTAAGTGATCCTTGGAGTAGGAAGAACCTCACAAAAAAGAACTTTGGGCCTGTGTTTTGGCTAAAGCATTTCTATGCTTTATCCTGAACAAAAGCAAAAGTAAATTTAAATACATGCAAAATGATCCACCGCATCTCAAACAGAAGGGTGGAATTTTGTCATGAACTTGGACACACTGCATATGCAGAGTTAATAATCATCTTTTCCGAGGGCTCAGTAAGTTTCTAAAGCTCAAAGCAACCTTTCTAAAGGGAGAGGAAAAGAAAAAGAAGCTGGTTTACTACATGAGACAGTTGTCTTGGACTGGAGCTCTCGTTTACCACAGGCTTCCTGTGCCATCCTTGATAAGCTCAATAAGCAACTTGATTTCCCGTCGCCTCAGATCTTTAGAAAAAGAGCAGACCAACTTTGCCCTTGCCACCTGATCGGTCACTTGTGCTGCCTGCCATCTGCATATCACGGGTCACCTCTGCCCCCACAATAGAATTTTTCAAAATAAATAAATAAATAAATATTAAAAAAAAAAAAAGAGAGTTTTCAGCTCAAATCAGCAATTTAAGTCCAAACTTATATTCTGGACTAAATTCAGATTAGTACGGGGAAGAGGTGCTTTGCACCAACCAACCACAAAAACCCCAGAATGTTACGACAAGGAAGGAAGATAGAGATGGAAATTGAAAACCACGTGCACTCCCGCTGGAACTGCACATATTCCACAGCTCTTAACGGCATAAGAAGATTTATTTCTCTTTCTTTCCGCAAAGGGGCGCAAAGCGAACATAAAAAAAGGGGAGTTCGGGTTCTTCCAGGGGACACAGGTCCCTTTCTCCCCCGAAGAGGGGTTTAGATGTGGATTAGGGGTGTCGCGCCCCGCTCCAGCCTGGGGAAAACGAAGC